GCATTGTTCTAATTAACATTAAATGTTGGCCTTGTTGTTAAAATTACAAACTCACAGGTGCTGTGGTCACAGGGATCACGGTAGATCCCTGGCAAGTCAAGAATAACTAAGGGCACTGGGATCTATACAAACCAGGCACTTGACAATCACATAATGAAATAGCCAAGGTTCAAGCTGTTGGTGTCTTGACAGAAGAGCTCAGTGTGAGCTCTGGACAGGTGTCTTTAATAGTTAAACCATTCCCAATCCCAAAGTTATTCTTTGAAAATCACAGTTACGAATATTCAAAGTCATAAAGCCGTACTGTCTCCTGAGCATTCATATTCTAAATTCTTAGTGATTGCATGCTCTTAGAAAGCCATCATTATCCAGGAGTACATTCTTTGAAAATAAATATCTGTATTAAACAAATGGACTGTGGTATGTATTTCTTTTCATCTGGTCTGAGTAAAGAGGATAGAGCTGAACATGACAGCACAGTTGTCATCATAACAAAGGATGTAACAGTGTTAAAACCTGGATTGAAAATTGCAAGCATATTTTGTATATTGAGTAAGGGAAGTTTTTTGGGGAGGGTTTATATCAATAGCACACACATGAAACTTCCAAAAAGATTTATAATGTAAAGTAAGATTTGGATTAAAAAATTCTGCTTTGGTTATTTAGTTTTATTAATGTGGAAATGTAAGAGTAGAGATGGTTTTGAAAGTCCTTGAAGGAATATAAAATTATGATTAATTTGATCAACTCTAACAGATCAGGCTCGGCCTTGTTCGGTCTCAGCAAAAGTATGTTGTGCCAAATCAGGACAAAATAGCCCACAAGCTGTCCTGTATGGTCCAGAAGAGATAGATGTCAGAAGAGTACATAGAAAATAATGTTGATTGATGCTGTTATCAAATTGTAACAGAGAAATCCATCTAATAATTCTATATTTGATCAGCCACCTATCTGGGTTTACTAATGGAGACTGATGAATGCAAATGAAGATTGTATGAATGTTTTTGGAAACTGACATGCTATTATGTTGGGAGCATTACGTTATGGGGTTGCTTCTCATCAGCAGGAACAAGGGAGGTAAGTCAAGTTAAGTTAAGAGGAGTAAAAGAATGGAGCAAATCACAGGCACATCTTTGAACAAAACCAGTTTTCGCTGCTTTAGACATAAACTGGGATGGAAATTCACCTTTCACCAGCTAACAACCCAAAGCACTAGGCCAGCACTACGCTGGCTTGGCTTAACCAAGAAACAAACAAAAAAAAGAAATAAAAGAAACACAGAAAGTCAATGTTCTTGAGTAGTAGTAGCTGATGGTTGGTAGAGCTTTATCCAAAAGCCTTGCAGCTGTAACTTTCGAAGGTGCTTTCACCAAGTATTGGGAATAAAAAATATATTCATTTCATTTTCTGATTAATCTGTGGCAGTTTTAACTGACATGTAACTTATTTCATCCATCCATACAGCGTATGTTCAGTTTGAGTTCTCCAGTTTGGATTAAAAATACTCACTTTAAATAGGAGTCTTATCACTTGTCAAGTACATCATTTGTAATACAAAAATATGGGCCATCATTGGAAGGCATGAATATGTCTAAAAGGCATCGTATATAACCCATCTATATTTTGAGTACTGTACCAGGGACATATACTATATATACAGTATATACATCAAAAACATGGAAGAAGCAGAATTATATGAGACATGTTCAAGATAATGCAGTATTGTGCATGATGGTTACCGATTCTGTCTTACAGTTACTGTGTTGGGTTGTCTCCAGGTGCTCTGCTTTCCTCTCTCCTCTCACAATTTGCTGGCTTGGTTAACTGATGTCTCTAAACTGTGTGTGTGTGCCCTGCAATGCTGTATATTCCTGCCTTGTGAACAGTGCTTCTGGAATAGATTCTGGGAGTCACAGTCTTTACCAGGCAAAATAAAATTGGCTTTCTGATAACGGATGGATGGGTCATACACGTGCGACAGCTGTAGCTTTCTGAAGACAGATTAAAGGATTCAAAAGCAGAAGGGAAACGAAGAAAACCTTGTCTGCAACGTGGAACAGATGAAGACTTGTGAAGCTTTTCTGTTGTTGAATCAAGTGGTACTGTATATACTGTAAATTCTTCAAAAGCCTCTCAATTAAGGTTACAGCACTTGTTTTTCAAAATAATCTTAAATATTCATACATTTTTGTCATGAAAAAGTATTCATGCTTAAGAAGAAAGAGTCTATCCCAGACTGACAAAGTGTTTTACGCAGGGGGAAGAAGGGAGGCAGTAAAGTGAAATGAATTTGAGCTGAGAGGTGGAGAGGAGTGAAAGGAGGCTGTCCATTTTAAGAACTCTACACGCCACTGATTTTTTTCTTTTTATATTGAACTCAAGCTTCTAGAATATTTCAGAAAGCATTGTTAGATGAATATTAAATTAATGCAGTGCTACACTGAACTTTATTTTATTTGTACTCATCCAGTAAATAGTGGTTATTTTATTAATGTAGCTATTCATTATTAAATTCTATTATTTCTGTGAATTGTAATTGACTTTTAAAAAACATGTAGTCAATGACAGTACTGAAGCTCCTGCAGACAGATTTGATTACAAGCATCAGAGTTCCAGTGGCTTTCCATAGTAACAAGGCTGACAGCTACAGCAACCCAATTAACATTTCCCAACATCCTTACAAAATGTCAAGCTCACATTCCAATTATTTCTACACAAGCCTCAGTACACTATCACTTAATTTAACAGCTTTAAGAGACATCTGTACCAGACTCCATTAGTGGACTTTGTTGGCATCTTTGTGTAAATCAAAGTCTTGTGTGACTGAATTAAAATCCAGTTCTATCAGAGGCATCAATTAAATTGGAAAAAAAAACTAACTTTTTTTTTTATTTCCCGTTTCATAGTTAAAGTTAAGCCAATATGCTACAGTATTTGGATGGTAGCTTTTGTATATTTTCATTTTTTATAATTAATTTTAACCAAATGTGAAATTGTAAGAAATGGACCTACTGGGTTTGCTTGCAGAAAGCCTGGTTTGTCTCGCGGCTCTCATTATAAAGGAATTGATGCTTTGCAGGCACTATGGTAACGCCAGAGCAAAAGTCGTGTTAAAGGTTTTGTAGGGAACGGATTGGAGGATAGGTGTTAGCGCAGCGAACTCAGCGATAGATTAGGCTGGAGGCCATCATTTTTTTTCCAGAATGGCAAGAATTAAAGTATATCTTACACCAAGAATTGTTCTGGAAAGCGCCAAGGAACGAGGCTGGAGCTTTCTCCCGCTGTGCCATCGCTGATCGGAAAGAGACGGTGAAATCCACAACCTCTCAGCTCAGCACCATGGACAGCGGTCAACAGCTACAGCCTTGACAGCACAAGTGCTTCTTAGATTCAAAATGGCTTTCAGCTAGGAAGGTTTTATTGTACAGTAGCATGTTGCGATATTATTATTTGGTACTTTCCTCATTTTAAATTTATTTTAATTAAAAAATGATTTAAGAGCATATCAGTTCAAATGACCTTCTATAGCAGATCTACGGCTATACTATAAAAACGATTTTTTAAACCTTTTTAGAGTTTTGTGATAATGAACAACTGTCTAGTGTTTTGCTCCATGTGTTTAACGCTCCAATAAAAAAAAACCAATATGAAATGAAATTCTCCAAAAAGCTGTTTGAATATGAATTATTCAAACGGGGTTGTGGTGGCAAAGACATTTTATCTTACATAAACAACAGACTTTTACTTTTCGGCGTGGGATTAGGCTCTAGATTTGCCTTTGAAACTCGCACAAGCACGCAGCTCTATGCGGCAGATTGACATGCCTTCTTGTAAAGGATTAATGATTAAGAATAATTGCATCGGGATACTGTATTTTCGATCATTTCAATAACTTTTTCAAAAAAATACAAACTGGAAATAAACATTTAGGACTGATACGAGTAGTAATGATGCTCCGCTATATGTACTGTAATACAGTAGTGCGATTGATAGGAAAATGTCATAATTTTGAACGATAGCTCCACCTGCAGACAGTAACCGAGAGAGCTGGGAATGAGAAAGGACGAGAGGGGCATGACTACAATGCGCTGGTATTTAAGATGTGCACGCGCGTAGTGAACATGACGTGTATCCTTACACTCATGCAACGCCACATTTTCAAAGCTCAATGTTTCTTTCTTAAATCTTTTTCAATATAAAAATATTTTGTGGTCCTTGGAAAGAAGACAGAAACGTGCTATAGGGCTAAGACGGACCTGTATTAAAATAATGAGAATAATGAAAACAGTAGCTATGTAAAAATATGCGACTAACTGTAGCCAGTCCAACCACAGGACAATAGCTTTCTGGTCAAAGTAATTACAGTAGCTGTGCCATGACGCATCAATTCATAATAAGCGCCTGTTATTTTAATGTGATTACTTATTAAGTAATACAGCACGTGCTTTTCAATGGAGTTAATGCAAAATGTACTGTTGATGTATTAAGTCATTATGTACAGTATTCATGGGCTATTCATATGGCTTTCTCTATTCGCCAAGATTGAATCATGCACAGCCACTTGCTGAAAAATGTTTCCTGTTTGGTATTTATATGAAAACATAAGTTGTTAGTTGTCCCATCCTAATAACTACTTACTGTACATAATCCACTGTCTCATTGAAAACCATTTGATAGCCATTTCTTTATACCACTGCAATACTATTGTACAGTATATACTGTACTGTATGTACATGCATGGGTTTGAGTAGTGTTATTACATTGTGTTTGATTCATCTAGTAAAATGCTTTCATGACACGTTTCCACGATGAAAAAAAAACCTTAGTAAAGTACAGCCAAAAACATACAGTACATACAGTATACACATAATTTACATCCCCTTTAAGAGACAGATTGTGTTTGTAGTACACTTTCGTCTGTTGGGCTGTTCTCTCCAAGTTTCTGCATGCCGTACTGTATATCTGAAACACAAGTTGTGTAATTTTATATAAAGCTTCGCTTTACGCTTTTCTCTGCATTACTCTTAATCGTATCGTTTTTTTTTTATCGTTTACAACATAGTGTGCATCCAATTTAATTTTGTTTAAAAAGGGAGTCTAGCCCGAATGCAGTTAGGGCACGGAGCCCAGCAACTCGATGCTGTAAAGCATAAACACCCAAGACAGTCAGTAGCAGTGCTAGTAGCTTCTGAGTGCGTGATTGGAGACAAATTGAGTTCGACCTCAGAAGTTTTGATTTCTCCGCATACGGAAACAGAAAAAAGAAGGGAAAAAATACAGGAGGCACTGACACACACACAGAGGTACCAGGGCGCTCAGTCTACCGCCTAGATGTCTGTACTCGACTGAAAGCCATGAAGACGCGTTGTATTTTAAGACTAGCGAAGAATAACAGTCTCCCTTAACACACAGTAAAGCTTCCAACAGTACTGCGTGAGCTTAATCAGATCTGGATTGCAGAACAAACGAAGAAGAAGGGGGGTTTCCAGCTTTGCCTGCTGAAAAAAAAAACATCCGCTTTAAATTGAGCATTATCTATCAGCAAGCACACTACCACACCTCCCCCCTCACATGTAAAAAAAAAATGTTTCGTTCATCTTAGAGGTCTACAGTAACCTGAACAGGCTTTGAGAATTGCAAACAGAACACTGAGAGGACATTTAAAAAGAAGGGGGAAAAAAAACAATCTACTGAACCGGAACCTTTGACATTCATCTTGGGAGACAAAAAAAGAGAAAATAGCTGATATTGAAGGAGAGGTGGAGTCCGCAATATATACCGGTATGTACCTGAAACTATACTGAATGATTTGCATGGGTCGCAAAGGAACTGGGGTTTAGCTTTCGTGCTGGGGGATTTTTTCTGTTACTTGACAAGTGATTAGTCGTTTTGATTAAATGTGTATTGACTGTAATGTTGCCTGTAAAAATCAATTATGAGCCTTTGATATATGCAACGTAATTACTAGGGTGCAAAGTGACCTGACGTCAAATTCTTATGTAACATACTTTCTTAGTAAAAGTGATTGAGGCAAATAATTCATAAAGCTGGGTGTATTCAACTGTAATCAAAGAGTCTGTAAACAGGACCCGAGTCTAGAGATAAATGTGACAGGAATGTATCCCTTTTGTTTTCTTTAAAAACAGGTTAGCAGTTCATCATGGATTTCCCAAATGCACCAGGTGGTTTTAGAGACCCCAGTCTAAGCCGATTGCTCAACGACTCTGCTTTTAACATGAACTTCAGTGCTTATAACTACACCTTTGAGGGGGTACTGCCCATTGGCGTGAAGATTACAATTGTTGTACTGTACATGATCGTCTGTGTAGTTGGGCTGGTGGGAAATTGTCTGGTCATGTACGTCATTATCAGGTAAGTAAGACACGTTCTAACGTGCAAATTACTCTCGAACATACAGTAGATGTTTTATTTAAACTTTAAACATTTGCTGCGCGTTGTTGGCTTTAAACGTTTTATAATGTATGCTTTTTAAAGCAAGACATTTTTAAAATTTAAGTTATTTTATTGGCTCTTTTGCTCCCTCTTTTGGAATGTGGGTGGAATGAAAGGCTGTGCTCCTGTATCTCTTTTAAGTTTAAAAAAGTTTAAAATTCCGCATAATGCCATATTATGAAATTCCTCGGATACGCGGTGTTGTTTCGATCACATTGACGTGTTCGACTGATTATTTTTTGTTTATCTGTTCCAAGCGAATTAATCAGTCAAAACCAATATCAGCAAAAAGAAATCTGCTTGAGTAAGTTGTGATGTGTGTTATTGCATGACGACCTCTAAAAGGTTACTGAAATGCCCCGAAAACAACGATGGAAAACGGCCTTTGATCGCGCTTATAAAACGTATGTATTGAGATCTTAAAGTAAAAAGAAAAGTTTTAGAGGATTTTTCTGATTATTAAACATAAGCTTTCCTTGAAAACGTGATTGCTGTGTACACAAAACGTGAAGCAATTGAACAATAGTGTTGTTGTAACAACAGTACTGTATGTGTATTTTCACACCACACATTTTTAAACTTTAAACTTTTTTTAATATGAATAAAAAACTGCAAATTAAAGCATAATAAGCAGAAAGAGAAATTAAACAACAGACTGCTCTTTTTTTTCAGTGATTGTTCTGTTCCATATACAGTATACAGTATTCTCTGGAGTGGTTAATACTGTATATTGTTGTCTGTCGTTGTGCTTTGGCAGAACTGTAATGTATCAGTCATTATTGCCAATAAAGCCCATTGAATTGTTTGCAACCAAGTGATTATATTTCAGTTACAACTTCAGCTTTATATCTCGTGATCTGAGCAGACTGAGCTCATCAGGCCAAAACATATTTCTATTTTTCAACTGTTTAAAGCATTTTGTTCAAACTCCAATGCCAATGCAGCTTTTCATGTTCACACTCACTGTTAACAAATCTACGTGGTCCAATAAAATAGTTTAACTTGAGCTATGTTAAGTCATGGCAGCATAATTAATTTTCTTGTGCTTCGTTGTTGTTGATATAGGGTACTGAATTGTATTTCCTTAGCTTGCTGGTCATCTTATAAATACAGGCCCAGGCAAAAACAGCAGATCATCTGCTGAGGTGAGCCTTGAATGTGAGTGAATGCTGACTAGATGTTCACAGGTATCTAACAATCTTCCTCGAAACTCACCCAATGTCAGTGCTTCTATTCTATTTCTGGTTAATGTTACCAAAGATACTCCAGGTTGGTTTGGAACTTAAAGTTCACTTATACTTTATTCAATTTCCAAATATCAGTCAATAGCAAATGTTTTGAAGACATTGAGAAAAGCTGAAAACATTATGTTTTTGATGTGACATCTTTTTGAGAAATTCAGTGTGAAGTATAACCACAATGGCATTTGTTTTTATGGTGGTCATTTTGGTTTTAGAAATATTTTCATAGCAAAATACAAATAGGAAATAGAAATTTCTAACAATCCATAGCTGAACCGCGTAATATACAGCCCCTCTGATTCACTTCTCTGTTGTACTCTAGTGCAACCAGAACCTCAGTTACTATATTGATCCCACTTACTACTTATTAATTACTGAAGTGAGCAGCTGCTTGCTGCAAAATTATTCAAAGGACTGGCTTGGATAGACTGCAGGTTGAATAGCTCTGGTGTGTGATGTACTGAATATAGAGAGATGTCCTCTATATATATTTATCTAGGACATGTATGAAACCCAGTAGAAGCCATGATCAGTGCTATCTGGTGTAAAAATGTGTCTAGTGCTAAGTCAGATAGCAGCTCTTCATGGGGTTATGCAATTTTACAATTTAAGAGAACAGTCTGTGAAGTATGGAATGCCACTGGCTCAGGACAAACACTAACAGTGGAACACTTACATTTATTGAGTAACAAATGGCATTGTACAGAATTACATCAGTTTAACACTGCTATCATAGTCTTAGAAATGTTCAGTGCCAAAGCATACTCTGACCAATATGTGAGTTCTGATATATAATTGTCAGTACTACAAACACATTTGAATATCTGTTATTAAGGAACAGTGAAATGGAGGTGGAACCATTTATCTTTTTTAAAAAAATGATAATACTTAATATGATAAGACAGTAGGAATGTATAAAAGTAAATTTATTAACTCTTATTTTTATGTACAAACACACCCATCCAAAATATTTCTCTTTATTCAGTATGCCGTGTTCGACATCTATTGTTTAAAATTTTGAAACAAAACAACCTTAGGGTATAGGTGTATTAAGGATCCAGATTCTGATTTTTTTTTTCTGCTAATATTTTTTGCTAAGTTAGATATTGTGTGCCTTCAAAACTACCAAATCAGAAGAATGAAGATAACAAAGGTGTATTTTGATGAAAGGTTTAAAATATTAACAATTTTACAAAATGTTACTGTTAAACATGATTAAAGACTCTTAGGCTGGTTGTCACATCTTTTTACTTGCAGATATTGCAAAATCTGATTTTGATATTCTGAAACAAACTCTTATAATAAACTTGCAAGTCCAGAAAGGCAAAATAAATATGAACAAGGTACTGTATATTAAGTGTTTTATTTTTTTTGCTTTAGCATAATTTAGGAATTTTGGCTGGATTCTGTTTGAAGACAGAGATAATGGAGCAAATTGTACTGTACATTAGGGCAGAAAGATTTGAAATTCTTTAGCCTCATGTGTAAAGGCTTATTTGGAATCTGATTCGTAGGAAAACAATACCTCTCTGAAGGCTTTCTTGAAGGACAGAAGTGAATGTCAGTATTATCTTCATCTTATAGGTCACATCGGTATTTTGTGTTGTTTAGTCCTCTAGTTGTGATTCAATTCTTAAGATACTTCCAGTATCATTCAAGATGTAACGGTATGGCCTTACTTGTTTTTTCAAAAAACGTTCTTTATCCTGAATACATACATGAATGCGTGGCTTGTACTGTAGGCTTTTGCATTGCTACTTGAATATGGATCACCACAGGTGATTGTTGGAAAACATAACAGTAGTTGTGCTACAAAGTAGCACTAGGGTCTAATAAAATAAAAGGGAAATGTTCATTGCTGTTCATTTCCCAAAAGAATGGAGAGGAAGGATTATTTATAGGCATAGCAAGTGTAAGGAAGCTTGGCAGTTGTAAACAGTGCAGCAGCTGTACTTTTTTTACTTTGATGTTTATGCTCCAAAGCTGAATATGAAATGGGGCATGTTTTCATATGAGATGTGAATTTGAGTAATGGGCTATTCAGGAATTGCAAGGTCTCAAACAATAACTTGTGGGTGATCTTCATTATTGCTATGAAGGCTAAATTTGTTCATTTTCTTACAGCCAGCTAGACTTTGTATGAGTTGAATAATTTTGGTTCTGGTGAAATGGCAGCTGTGTTATTTTAATTCAGGCCTCATTTCTATTTGCATTTCCAGGGTTGCTTACTCTCACAAAACAGCTTTGCTTTCTCAAATTAGGTGATCTCTGTATTTATTGTATTTAATTATATTTACAAACCCTAGAGGCACAAAAGTGAGGGAGAGAGATGAAAAAATGGTTTTATGAAATTGTGCATACCAAGGTTGGAGAAAGATTCACAAAACAGCAGACATTTCCCTCTTGGCAGGTGGTATCAGCACTGTTTCTTTCTGTATTTAGATTTTGCCAGCTTTTTGCAAAAAATCATCTGCACAACCCTATAAAACAGTTCACTCCACACCCACTCTACAGATGGCCTTAGAGGCAAGCAGATTCCTGGAAACAATGCATATATTACAGTGGCCTCTGGCATGACTTGAAAACTGTAATTGTGATCCATTAAGTTGTCTACCGAAAGATCCATGAATCTTTATAATATATATGTATAAAATCAAAAGTGTAAAACTAAGACTATAAAAGAACTGCTTGTTCAATTATTCAATAAGAAATTAACTGGTTGCCAAGGCAGCAATGTGCTTTGGATGTGAAAAAATTATAGTATACCAGCTTTTCACATTTGGTTGTGTCTCTTTTTTATATGCTCTTTGTTACAGTACATTTTTACTTCAGGGGGTATAATTAAATAATTTTAATTTTGGAATACTCAGAATTATTTGACACCTTTCTTAGCCAATATTTCCAGTGCTCTGAAACACCTGAGAGGTCTACAGATGATGTCAGTGGGTGCAACATCATGGATACCTTCATCAGCGCAGGATTACATTGTGATTTAAAGAATCTTCCTGTAAGACTGCCTTTGGGAAGGACATTGTAAAGAGCATACTTTTGGACAACGTGATGACAAACTCAAATATTTTCCTCTGAACAGGAACTCTTTAAGATTTCATTGGATGGAACTATATATAGAAACAGAAGAAACATAGGAACATGCCCAGGGGTAGATGCACTGCATAATTTGAAATCATGTACAGTATACATAATTCCTTAATACGCACCTCATCTGCTCTCTCATGATGTCTTTGTTTTGCCTTTTTTAGATGATTACACATCTAGCAGGTTTGAGAGGTGGCTGTATAATAGTGGAGCTTAATTGAATTAGTAATTACATGATTTTCTCTGCATGGTATATGGCAGGGGTTGGCTCTGTTACATTGTAAGTCTCTGTTCCACCTAATCCTTAGTAGCTGAAGTGACAATTAAACAATTAGAAATCAGTTTAGTATTGTTCTGAATGCATCCCTAGGATAAGCATCCTGGACTAGAAAAAGTAAAGGTGCCTAAATACAGTATGGTCAATGATACTGTTGAAGATGTTTCTAACTGCAGTCTCCTGTCCTGGTCATTGAAGGCCGATATGTCTATCAGTTTTATTCCAGCTCAGCTCTTAATGGATTAAATTGGCTCAGATTAATCTATTCTTTTTAGATTCACCTGTCTGGTTTGCAAATACCAGAT